GAGAGGCGAAGGAGTGGACATAGAAAAGAACAGCCGTCGGCCGGGGGGGGGGGGGGGGGGGGGGGGGGGGGGGGGGGGCAGTCCAAACCTCTGCCCTATATACTTCAACACTCCTTTTAGATTGTTTTTCACAAAAGAAACAGTGCAGTTTTACTCAACACTTAATACTAATTCTATGCCGATCTAAAACTTCGATATCTGTTGCGGGCGAGAAAAGCTCGTTTTTTGCCTCTCCACCTTTTAGAATGGTTTCTAACCTGCCAATCATAGGTCATTTTGCTGCTTTCAGTGACCAGCCAACTTTTCTAGGTGTTCCGAGTTGGTGAATCAGATTTGCTTCATTGATTTTGAAAAGTTTAAGAATCTTTCAGGGTTCAATAGATTGAAAAATGCTTAGGAACTTGATTATGTAACAGAAAATTGTTAAGATAATCTGGTTGCTATGATATAAACTTTCCAAAACCTGGTCACTGTGGTCCCTTGAGGGGCAAAAGTGTGGCACTCACAAACTCTGTTTGTTGTATACTTAAGATACAACGTCAGAGGACTTGAAATAATTTATTAAAAACACTCCTAACAAATAAAGCATTCAACATTATGAGTGTGAGTGTGGGTATAAATTAAAAGAAGACCCACACCCGCACAGGTTTAGAATTTGTTCCAATTCTCGAAACCATTTTTAAGCTCTGTGCTATGCAGGAAACCTTTTTTAAGTTGACGAAACCCTCTTTGGTTCGGTAATCACACATTTGTTTTTCAGTGCACACCCCCATCCACACCCTCACCTACACCCTACTCTACATAGATTACGAGATCCTGTGAAACTTCACTATACTTTTTAAAGTGTCGAAAGAATTTACAAAAAATTCGTTTGGATAGTTCAGTTTCGAGTGTGGTGTGGTTCTTCTATTCAGCCACATCCGATAATCACAGTCATATCCTCAAGCAAAACCTTAGTACGGAAATCGATGTACTTCAATTTTGTTGATGTATTTCACTATTAAGTAGTTATAGATAGTGAGCTGAAACTTTCAGAATTAAAAGATCTTGATTAGATATATATGAGACAAAATTTCAGCCGTCTACATCAAACAAAATTATGAAAAATATCATTAATAATTTATCTTCAGTTGTTATGAAAGACTCATTATTCAGCAATTACTTTTGGTCATTTTCTTATAAATTCTTGCATTTGTTGATCTGAAGTTTTTCCATCGTTCTAAAATGTTCAATTTGACAAAACAATATAACGACAAAAAGCACATTGGCTTATTTCCTTATTTACACTTTAAGTGATACGTAGTCTGATCCGCCAGGTATAGAAAATCAAAAAGAGCCCTATTCAATTAAATTGTGTTATTGACTACAGCACATTTTGTTGACTGTAGAACTGAGATAAAAACTAATGTGTGTGGGTGAAAACATAATCAACATCCATACCATTTTTCTCTATCTATCAGAAATGGCATTCTTTGATATGCTATCAATTCCATTGATGTCGTTGATCAACTGTATGACAAGTTAATTTTTTTGCAATTTATTTCATATCTATTTCAATATCATGTTTGAGGTCTTTTCAATGCAAATTCTGTGAAAATATTAATTGGGCAATGCAAGAAGACAAAATTCAAACGATTAACTGTTCTTGCATCGTGCACTATCGAATCCAACGATATTCAAAAGCTGATAATTGACCATTACTACTATTATTAAAGTACGCCTTCGATGATTTTTTTCGTCATTCTTTTGTTCACGAGAGAAATTCGATACATCTTCTCAAGTTAATACCGTAGTTAAGACATTTTGGACAACAAACAAACATGAATTGCACCATCATCAAATCTCACCTAGTAATTTTATTATTCATCGTTCTGTTCTTATCAACTTTTCTATGTTAACAATTGCTTGTGCAATACCGTCTTAAACTATATAAAGTCGTGTTTTGAAATGCTTTTTTCTCCATTCCAGTTTTGATCATCAACCACGTGTTGTGCCAAAAAAGCACACACCCGGCGGCTTAACAACCAACTCGATGGCTGATTGGAAACGTGTGCTCTCAATTGTGTTAGACTTGCTTATGCTGTGAATAAATTCGTTCTTCGAATCGATTCGGACTTTTTATGTTTGAATTAGAAACTCGGCTTCCGGTGTGTTCCGGTCACAACGAAACCCAGCTATCGTCGCTTCAAAACCGACGCTTCGGGTCGATCGGACATATCGAAGGCCACCGATATTCAGATTATATTTGTTTGTGTTGGTTGTATTGCAATACACAACAATATATTAAATCTCATCAGTGTATCTTCGATGTTTTCAACATTTATCTACCAAGTCGAGTATCGAAGAGACGAATAATATCATCCGTAAGACAAATTCTAGACGCTTTGTGAGAGCACACATTTACAATCTATGTAGAAGATACAAAAATTATAAAGGTGAATATTAGATAAACGTAAGGATTTTAAGTTTAATTTGATAATAATTATATAAATGTCTGTTTCATTTTACATGTATGCAAAAGATTAAAATGATCGATACATTTCTTTTCGGAATGTGCTTAATATGGAAAGAGGCTCATTAAATGATTTCTTTTTCAATAGTTTCTCTTTTTTTATGCTAATAATTTACATTAGTCAATTCAATCTTCAATAAGATAGCTGTTGTACATCAAAAGATCTTTTTTTAATTTTTTTTATTGAAATATTTCAATAAATAAATTTATTGCCATCACTAAATTGTTCATCATGTATCAATCGATAATGATTGATTGAACTCATTGCTCCCTAAATATCGAATTTGATTTCCCTCACCAAAGAGGCTGTAGGTGTGGGTGTGAGCGTAGGCCTTCTTTTCTTCATCACCCACACCTACACCCTGTTTTTAAATCCCAATATGCTAAAATGTTCATTTTGTTGTCGATTTTTGTTTCATCCTCCAAATATCGATCGAGTTCTGTTTTCTCGACTAGCTGCTGAATATCATTCTCATCATTAGGTGCATCGAAAATCTCATTTAAAGAATTTTTAAATGCATTGATGTTCTTTTCTGTTTATTGTTAGCAGTTGTTAATAGCACCAGCTGAATCACAAGTGGATCAACAAATTTTTTCAGTTCCAATTTTAACAATGAAACAGCATGTTTTTTACATCTAGTGAAAGTTGAAAACTTTTTAAGTTAGGGTGAAATAGCATTGCTAAATAATGTATATCCTGTATACACCAATAATCTTTCAAATGTTTCGATACAAAACGTTTTAACTGTATTAAATCTTGATTCTCATCGTCATTTTGGTTCGATGGATCAATCAGCAATTGCTTGTAAGGAATCACCAAATGTATTGTTGATGTATTTCCACAGCTAAGTTTTTCAATAAAGTCGTGAAAATGTTTTAAATATTTTGCTAATTCTTCGAATTCAACATAACTAACTTTTAAATAATTTTCTCTTTGATTATCATTCAAAGCACATTGTAATTCGTTGTAAACCATAATGAATATGTTTATTATTATATAACTACTACTAAAACGTGTTTTACAGTAATTTTGAACACATACCGATAATGATTATTGTTTATGACTTTGATGAATATAAGAGATTATATCTCGAACAATAGAAAATAATTGTTTAACACTAGTACAAAGAGAGGCTTATAATTCAAGTGCATGCTGAATAACCTTGTTAATATAATGAGAGCTGCAACCTACTCTTGTAACATCTTCTCTGAATGCAGATGACATTTTTATCTCGTTGCCTGACACGATGAATACATCATCATGTATTTTAAGACCAAATTTTTCAACTATTTTATTAAAAAAACCACGTATACGAAAAGAATTTTGATTGGAAAGATCATAAAACTTGCAAGGTAATATAAACATTCGCAACTTGAAATTAACATTAACGAAATGCAGATTAACACCACTACAATGTAAGCCTATAATTAAAAAAAAGATACAGTCTTTAACCGCTTATACTAGGAACCTATATGTTATGTCATAGTTTTAACAGTGAATAGATCGTCTTATTTCGAAAAAGATACACAAGTGAAAAGCTTGAGTTTTAATTTTGAACATCAATAAGTTGGGCAAGTATTTATAAAAAGACGTCTCTATCTTTAATATTTTTAAATATAGCATATCTTCAACAAAATAATCATTCAAATAAATCCTTTTACAGAATGCATGAAGCTACATACCAGTAAAACCTTCGGTCCAGAAGTCATATGTAATTACAAAATTAGCAACCTCTTCACATAAAACAACCAGTTGATCCTTAAACCTATTATACATATGTTGTACACTACGTGAAATCTAAAAAATAGCGCATATATCATAAGTAGAAAATGTAGCATTTATAGTAGTTGGATATGGTAATAAGTCATTAAAAGAAAATCCTGTCCCAATAAGAGCACATGCATTCATGAGCTGCTTTCCTAAATTCACAAAACCTTCACTGGCTACTATTTCAAATGGTTTGTTGTCAAGTGCATAAAATTCACAGCAGCTTCAAGAATATGATCTTTAATTGCTGAATAATTTTCTTGTGCAGGTGACATGTAACATGAAATTGCACATTGATGTGAAGGTGTTGCTGATGGGTCTGATTTCAATTTCTTGGCATAATTGTGATTTTTCATCATTCTTGTGACTGTTCCACTTGACCATTTTAATACAGTACGACAATGATTACACAATATGTAATTTTATGCAACATTTAAATAATACAATTGAAAAAAGCTAGACCACAAATCAGATAGTGCACTAACTGGTTTTACAAGTGTAATTGATGGATCATTCGATTCAATCAACTTCTGATAATCATGTTTTGAAAATTCTTTATGAACATTTTATCGTAGTTAAATTGTAATACTAAAAAGAAAGGAAGAATTTTATTTGAAAGAGACACAACGTTGACAAAGACTTGTGAACTCATTATTTCTTTATTCTCAAAATTATTTTATGATATGTTGATTTATTTGTCCATCAATCATATGTATGCATATATTTTTTCGTATTGGTGATATACATATGCGAGTATTTTATCTTTGTCTATATAGCGGCATCTTTATATTTCGCTTTTTACTCAACGGAACAAACAGGATTTTACGGAACAATTGAAAAAAAATTGTGACGGGACATTTGTGATCGGAACAGTTTCAAAAATTTTCGTGACAGGACAAACAGGATTCGGGAGACATAAAAGTCTGTCCCGCAGGACTCTAACCAACACCCACATCCACACATCCCGCATACACTCACACCCCACACCCTCTGATGCATCATCAAATTGAAATAGAACATAATTTGTTTTTGCAACTCTAGGTCTCTGGCAATGAGGCAGACATTGTGTTTTCACTGTTACGATCCTTTTATTGCATCAAATAACAAAAATTATCGAAACTTCGCAATCATTTATTTGCAATGTTTTATTGTCGAATCGAAACTTCTACACCATCACGAATATTCTTCTCATATTCGAGAGTCGATTCATGAAATTTTGATGTATACTGTGGATTATTTCGAACATAGGTTACATAGTCAGGCACACCGGGATAAATAATATTATCAGCAACAATCATTGTACCGCGTTTGATCAAACCGACATTTTCAAGTAGTTTGAAATCTCTTAAATAGGCCTCTTTATGATGATCAATAAAGATAAAATCAAATGAATCAACATTGAATTGTTGACTCAAACGAGGAATTGCTCGGTCAGTTTGATCGAGGACAATTTGTATGCGATTTGCAACACCAGCATGTTCATGAATACGTCGAGCAGTAGCTGCCGATTCAGGATTTACTTCGATAGTGACAATCAATGTATCTTCAGGTAGTTGAGAAGCCATGCGCAATGAACTATAGCCAAGAAAAGTACCTTTAATAAAAACAAAAAGAAAGTTGCAAGAATCTATTTCGATGAATATTTACCAAGTTCAAGAACTGTTTTTGGTTGTCTAGATAGTAGAGCCGCATCGAGAATTTTGCCTTTTATATCGCCAATATTCATGAGTGCTTGTTTAGTCCAACCGTACTCGTCAATGACATTGATGACACTGGTGACATCACCCGGACGACTTTTCTTAACAACATAATTCAACAGTGCTTCACGAAAGTCACTAGACATTTTTAGAAGCAGGAACGACTTTTCTTTGCAGTTGCCTCAATAAAATATTGCACTTTACACTATATCATTGAGGCGACGCCTCCATCATCATTTTCTTCTTTTTCATTCATTCGATATGGTTTCTTATTCACACCTTCGTCATGTCCTTGACTGAATCATATTTAATGTTTGTTGTGACACATGAGAAAAGAGTAATGTTATTGTCTATTTGATGATTCATAGCAGCAAGGTATTGATGGATGGGTGAACAGCAAACAAATAAACATTGAAAGAATTTTTAAATCGATCAAACTCAACAAAAATACGAAACAAGCGGTAAGAAAATCATCTTTCCACATGTCTCATCTGTTACAAAACTATGAACGGACTACAACGGCATCTAGTCGGAAGGTATCAGTTTGCCAGAGCATCATTGATTTATTTGATTTAGAGGTCTTTCAGCCAAATCAATTAGAAGTAATCAACGTCCACTAGTCAAGTTCTAAAGCCACGAGTTAATCTGAAATTATACAGATGGCTACAGACGCTTGAAAATGGTAGATGAGACACTGCTATCAGACATCATCGGATGCTCTTACATTTTAAATGAGAACTGAAATCGATTAGATCAACAAAATGATTTTCCTTTATTTCGTAATCAGACCGAAAAAAAAACATCAATCTAGAAAACAAACAGACTCGGTTTATTTGTCGACCTAGTTTCAGCTTTAATTTCAGGTATAAATTCAGCTCGAACAAAATGTAGTGATGATGAGTCTCCACATCTTATCAGAATAGTAAATATGCCTCGATGTTTTATTAGGCCTTGCTCACAAGGCAATGTCTATCAAACGGCCATAGGAAGCAAAGATTGAGAATTGAAAGCGGAAAAGTTTTCGTTGAATTACCGATTTATGGTCAGCCGAGTTTAGATTTTCTGAAGCGGTTCGAACACTGACAAAGCCTCTTCTAATTAATCTATATTTAACTTGATTAATGTTTATTTCTTTGTAGAACCTACTACATATGTAAAGTCATTTTAAACAATTTTTTTCGAGTGTAATATCAAGAACTGATAAATTGCAGCCTTTAGAACATCGCAAAAAGCAACAAAACTATTTTACATCGAATCGTCAACTGTTTTGTTTCTTGAAAAACGACCGATATTAATAGAGAAATCATATTGATGGCTTCGGCATTTAGCAGCATATCTGTTATCAGAAAGAAAACACTTCTAAAGTCTGGTGTGGCACTCTTTTGCTCTGTAGCATGAAAATGAATGAGAACGTACTTTTCTTCCAATAACAAAAGACATTGTTTATTTGAAATAACTGAAATAATATAGGAGGGAGGGGGGGGTCAGATAGTCCTGGACGTCCAGACGCTAACTAAATTAGTTTTTATATTTTTCTTGATTTTTCACGAATCTTTCAAATTAATTTCATTTTTGGAGAGCATTCTTAAGAGTTATCTTTTTTAAATGTATAATTACGAAATAAAAAGTACTGGAATTTATGCTGGTGATCAAGGTAAAAGTATAGGTTCATATGGAGGTCAACTACGACGTTTAGCTTTGAATCAAATACAACCGTACACAACATTTCAACAACATATACCATTTGATTATTATTGTCCATCAGTTGAAAAGAAATTAACAGAACGGACATGTGAAAAATGCAGTTTATATTTTCCATCAAAAGCTGCTAAGATATGTCATAATAAAATTCATGGTAAAAAACGTAAAGAAAGATTACCATCACCGGAAGTCAGTTCAGAAGAGGATCTATTGATTGAATCACAAGAACTAGAATCAGATAGTGAAACAACAACAGTTGATGAACCAAATGAATCAGTTGAAAATGACTCTGGTGTTGAATTAATTGAAGATTATGCTGCTGGGACAGCTAGTTATTTTTTAGAGCAGTAGAGTGATTATTTTATATTTTCTGATAACATGATATTCAGAATAACTTTTCTCGTTTTTTTTAATATCTTTTCTTTATATTCTATGCTCAACATTAAATTATGTATTTAAAAAACAAAACTTGTAACATATTCTATTTTCATTTATTATTTATGAAATATTCGTTTTGCTTATTTTGTATATTAACTTATTTGATAGTTATTTTTTTTATGTATTAATTAATGAACTGTTATGAAAAAAAAATACAGGCATATGCCTGAACTAACAGATTGTTTTTAAAACTTTTTTTTTAACCTGGACGTCCAGAGGGGAGGGGGGGGCATGTAAAAGTTGAGACCCAAAAAAGTCACTTTTAAGTACTTTCAGTATTATTTCTGAAAGTAGGCAAAGTCACCAATAAGTGAACCTTTTTAAGTAACTATTAGTATACTTATAAGTAAAAAGTACTTTTTATTACTTTTTAAAGTAATAAAAAGTACTTTTGCTCCAACAATTTCAAAGTTGTTGAGTTGTTTTATTAATAAAAAGTATAGCTGTATAAAGTAATTTTTAGTACTTTTCAAAATAATAAAAATTACTTTTTCCTAATAATTATACTAATAGTTACTTAAAAAGGTTCACTTATTAGTGACTTTGTGTACTTTCTGCTATAGTACAGAAAGTANGAAAAGTCCATTGGAATTATTGTGAAGTTAACATCGTTTCAAGTTCTGATTCATTTTCAAATTTCTCTTCTTAATAGGTTTTTTCTGTGTTTTCTTTTCAGGATGGAGACACTTTCAAATATTTCAACAGAAATCAGTCGTATAATCTTGATTCTTTTTTTTTAAAATCCTATTGAGTTTTTTTTATGGTGTCTCTTATACTCAAAATGAATAGATTCAATGATGGTACAATGTCCCAGAGTATTAAGTATTTGAATGACTGTTTCTGTTTTGCAATTGGAACTTACTCATAAGGATTTTATAGAGCTCTCGACGGCGCATCTTTGAGAAAAAAAAAGATCGAGACGCTATCATTTTCCAAACTCGAGATATTCGCAAAATAAAAAAGAAGTTTTGCTATAATACGTAATTACAGTGGTACATAACAAATGTCATGTGACCTATTCACTTTGAGTATCGGATACACTATCTGTGGAAGTGAATTGAGATTTGTTCACTACAATTTTTGTACATTTTTTCAAAGCGCATCTTTTGAAAAAAGAATCAAAATTATGCAATTGATCTCTACTGAAATATTTGAGTGTTTGTCTTCTCTTTCTACCGATTCCGACCTCCATACTGTTTTTGAAAAGAAAAAGAAATCACGGTAGTCATTCTTTGATAAATAACGAAGACTTTTTTTTATAGTTTTTTAAGAAATGTGATCATGAGCATTTCTGTACATATATATAGAAAACATTGAAATTTCACATCCTTTTATCGACTAATAGACAGAATGACAAAGAATATGAGCACTTGAAAAAAAATTTAAAAAAAATTCAATATATTCATGTAGATTGTAATAAAACCTCTCCTTTAAAGATATATTAACAACAATATGAAACATATTCTATTGTTTTTCTTTTTAATATCAAAAGAACTCGTAAATGTTTGTAGACAGACTAAGAAATAGATAATAAAAACCTCATATTTCTACAATAATTATCAGAAGAACAGAATTAAGATTATCAGATACTGAAACTATTTTATTTATTTTTTTGCGTTCATTAAATGTATACTAAAGAGTTTCTCTATTTTTTTTCTCATCTTCATATAATTTTCTGCAAAATGTTAAGCTCATTACAAATTCATTTATTTTACGTATTGTGCTGTTCTTGGAAAGACAAAAAGTTCAAGAGAAGGAAAGACATTGTATTATCCTGACGTATTTTTACTAGTTAAGATAAAATCCTATACTTAAATATCATAATTTGGAACTCTTAAAAAATTCGTCTTCAGAACCACAGTTACCAACGATAATTAATTTTAACGGAAAGTTTAGTTTTTTTTGCATAGTGACAGATTTCATTTCCCTCAAGCGAACTAAACTAAAGTTTAACTTACGATAGGGGTTTTAGTCCATAAACTGAAAATATGTGTAGACTGAGAGATGCAGAATCTGCCGGTAAAATAATCAAGTTTGCACAAACGGAGAAATTTTTTTAGAAAACTTTTCCAGGTAGGAAAAGAACGAAACACATTCTTTACGTCATCATGCTTAAAAAGTTCCCCCAAACACCCGTTTTCGCACACGGTTAGATTCTATATCTCTGATTTACACTATATCATTACAAAAATATAAAACTTGGGTTTGTTTGAAAAAGAAAGTTAACATTAGTGAACAACTTTTCGACACAAAAACTATAGCTTTTGTTAATTATTTTGCACCTAGAATTAAAAATCAGACAAACAAGAAAATCTTATTCTTTCAGGACATAGTTTTATTTTTCTGAGTCCAAAATGCAAAAATAAAAAGGTCTCAAAAGATTACATTTTATCCTTTAACACAAGTTATTGTCTTGTTTCGAATGGCACGTCTTATTTAAAGATGCCACTGTTATTTTCGACATATTTCATCATCATGTTCTACGTTTCTATGTATGTAAAAGTTTCAAATATGTAGAGACAGAATGTTGGTAGGAATTAATAGAAAACACTCACATTCAAACATTTTCCATCAAAAGTCGATGATGATCACCTTTTAATTGTGAAAAAAATACAACAAGGGCTAAATAAATAGATAATAGAATAGAATCTAATAGTTTTGAGAATAAATGATCCCGATCCTGTAGAGTTGAGACACTTTTTCCTCATAAATGGAAATCTGATGTTTAAGTATTGTGTAAATTAAAGTCAGAGAGATCAATCTACCTATATATCATTGTTAAATTCTGCAAGTTTCTCATAATATGACGGCATTTCTCTTACCATAGCTATTTGATGGCACATCTCAGTGGTGGTTCTATCATAAAAAGCGATACGCTTAATTCGAAAATTTGTTTCTTGTTTCTATAAAGAAGATTGCAGAATTTTGGCAATCGAAAAAATTCAATGAAGTTGTGTGGAAACTGCAAAAAAATCCACAAAAAAAAAGAAGAGAATCTAACAATTTCTGAAAATCTAGAAAACACAAGAATTTTCAAGAAATAGAGAAAAGGGAAAGAAAAAGAGGTGTAGAAGGAATTTAAAAATTAAAAATCATGATAAGATTCAAATGAAATCAAGAAGTTGAAAAGTGTTCGAAAATCAAAGAAAGTTAAAGTCTTAGAAACATGAGATATGTCTCACAAACAGAATGTCTTAGATGTATAGAAGAAGAGAAGTATCTTAAATACATTGACAATGGAACAAAAAAAAAAGAATTGCTGATAGGTTAGAAAACATCTTATTCTTAAGTGTGAGAACAGACTTAGAATCAATGTCCTCGATTAACTACATACTTACGCAGGCAGACAAACGTTAAAAAGTAACGCGTTTAAACGCGTTAGGGTTCTATAATAACTGCGTTTAAACGGCATTATTATGCAATTTTGAAACGCGTTAAAACACATAACTCATCTGCAACCTGTTAAAACTTGTAAGTTTTTCAAAATATACGCGTTTTTCTGTTGGTTTCGCTATTGCTTTTACGAGTTTAAACGCGTTCACAGGTATAAATATATTTTGATACAGTTCTATGCTAAAGACAACTTGACTTATTTTTTTCTTTGAAACTAGGTTATTACTTGCATCTTCTGTACACTTTGGTTCCCTTAACTTAACAAAATTAAGTTCTTTTTTATGTTGGTATATTTTCTCATGAAAGTTAAAATATAGATAGCAAATTTCAAGACAGGATGTTTCGTATTTATACACTATTCGACCAGGTATTAATATTTGAACTAATGTCTGACTAGATGAGAACTTATGTATAAATTTTAACGCAGAAAAGAATATTTTAAACATACTTTTATACATTTTATTTTCCTCATATATGATAGATTATATTTCATAGCGTCTTCATTGATTTTCATTTAATCTAATTCATGGAATAGTGTTTGTTCAAACTTATCTTTGTTCGATTCTTATCTGCTTGTGAAGTAGATTTATTAATAGTTTTTTGTATTGTCGTTATCAAAACCTCTTGTAATATGCAGCAGTATAAGACAAAAATATAAATTTAAATAATCTTACTTCAACATAATAAAAAGCAAAGTATATGATTAGAATAATTCAATGTTTTATTCATAATATAAAATAGATGAGAGTTAAAAAGTTGAAAATAATATTTAAGTGGATTCTAAGAGATTAGGAAATATTTGAAATCCACAGGGTGTGAGTGAAGGTAAGTCTTCTTTCATCAAAAACACCCACCCACACCCTAAATGTAATCTTTAATATTATTGTTGAATGACCCTTTATATATCTATTGTTATCATAAAGAATTTTTTTCTTTTACAATGTACTCCTGTTTCTGCACGTAAACAATAACTAGTAAATAGGTTGGACCTTAAAGTTAGGGCCATTTCTTTATAATCTTTATATCTGGTTATACTATCACAATATCTATCTCCTTACTTTCTTTTGTATTATTTAATACTAACAACCAATCATGTGCTTTTCACCATTTTTCTCACGATATGCTACCTAGAGTATTAGTTGGAAACATTTAAAATAATATTTCTTTCAGACGAAAATAGTAGACATTATCAGAAGAATAAATAGTGAATGTATTTAAGAAAACGCGTTTAAACGCGTTTATTTATCTGACATCTGCAGAGGGTCCACCATATACTTCTACAATTCATATACCCTCTAGAAACTTCCACTGCGTTTTAAAATCCTCTTCTGAATAATTTCTTAAGGATATTTATGCCAATTTGAGCAGATAATAAGAATGTAGAAAAAAGAAATTTCTATGTCGCAACAAATATGTAAAACATTAACATGTTTTTCTCTATTTTTTCTCTTTATTTTTTCAGTCGATTTTTTTCATTCAAATTCATTCTTTTTTTGTGTTTATTGATTTTTTCATAGTTT